TAGCATATTTATGGCAAAATAGAAAAGCTAAAGCAATCCAAGTTATTCTTAATCACAGTAAATACCCAAGTGCACCAGCTTGTACAAATAGCAAGCAGTTTGTACAAAATTATTATACTTCCAAATGTGTGCCCGAAAGCTCAGAAAGTACATTAAGTGTGCCGCCATGGACAGGGTCATTAAATCTGGTGCAATACAGTCAATTGAGCGCCTCGCTATTTACTGTTAGTGAGGTAGAGAAAGTGATTAGTAATTTAACTAATAATAAAGCAAGCGGATCTGATGGTGTGACGTATGAAACGCTGAAATCTGATAAAAGCACGTTGTGCCCAGTTCTGACTAATATATTTAACATCTGTCTTGAGAACGGTAAAGTACCAGAAGCATGGAAAGGTGCATTGATCCATCGAATCCCCAAGAAAGACCATATCCCCGACGATCCGTCAACTTGGAGAGATATATCCTTACTACCGACAGTATATAAGGTGTTCATGAAATGTTTGCTCTCAAGAATCCTCCCCTGGTTGGTGGAGACAGGAATACTCTCATCAAAACAGAAAGCATATATCAATAGACAGGGAATGAATGAGCACGTCTTTTGTTTGAAAACAGGAATTGATGATTTTAAACATTCATCTGCAAAATTCTCCACTGTCTTTCTGGATTTTCGTGATGCTTTTGGATCATTGTCCCATGATGTTATGCTTTATGCATTGGATGAAATAAGACTGCCACGGCTGTATGTGGACGTGATCAAGGACGTCTACAATAACTCCTATGTTCAAGTCATATGTGGAAGTGCCTTAACTGATCCTATACCTGTCAAGATCGGTATTAAGACCGGCTGCCCCTGGAGCGCTGTTAACTTTATACTAGTGATTAACTCCTGGCTGAAATGGATGTGTCAGTGCTCACCAGCAGGTGTGCAATCTCCAAATCCAGTGCAAGCTTATGCGGATGATGTGGAAATATCGTCACGAGATGAGAGTATAATTCATAATATGCTTCTTCGTACAGATGACTTCATAAGGTGGTCTGGTTTGGATATGAAACATACAAAGTGTGCTGCGTTTTATGAAAGACGGAGTGGAGGAAATAGATGGTATAGATCAAAGTCTGACAAACCCCTGGTCTTTGCATTAGCACATAAACCTATCCGTCTATATGAACGTCATGAAACCTATTCTTATCTGGGGCATAAATTCAACATTAGCGGAGACTGGGAGGAACAGGTTACAGAGCTGTGTCATGAATTTACCCGAAGACTTGCACTGATTGACTCTTCCCCTCTCCCCATAATGATGAAGATCGAGGCTATCGGATTGATTGCAACAGCTAAAATTCAACATCTATTTATGAATGTTCATATTCCACAATGCACACTTTCAACACTGAACGATGAAATGGTAAAGCTAGTGAGAAAATGGCTCTGCCTCAATAGCCATACAACCCGAGATATTATTTTCCAGTCGCGCCGAGACGAAGGTCTCGGTGTCCCAAACACTGAATGGATTTATACTGCCTCCAGAACAGGTCATCTTCTTAACATGCTGAATAACAACGATACATCTGTCAGAGAGCTGGCACGTGAGTCACTTTTACATCTACATCTACAGTGGCGCAAAATGTAGAAAAGCTGCTTCATTCAACGAGCCCCAGTTTCTTGGATTTAAATTAAAAACGAATGGAAAATTGGACATCAAAACAGCCGGATTTGGAGTACGCTCTGATTGGTTGGATTTAAATGATCTTTGCCAGTGCACAGGACTGCAGCTCTCTTGGCAGGGACATGACGGACCACTAGTGGCTCTTAATGAGAACATAATAACAGACCCGCGTATCTCTGCTCTAGCGGTTCTCAACACCGAAAGTGCACCTCGTCAACTATCGACCAATAATGTAAAAGCCTCACTTCTTCACATCAGAAAAACCCAAAATGCCCAGCACTGGATGGGCTTGAAACTACAGGGAAAATTAGCACTTCTCCAATCGGCTGACCACTCAGTATCCCACTCTGTTTTGACAAACTTTTCAATCTCAGAGGATATTCAAATTTTTATGATTAAAGCACGACTACAATGTCTTCCAACTATGTACAATCTGTCAATATGGTACCCGTCAAATTACAACGCCTACTGTCTGTTACATCAAAATCAACAGGAAAATGAAACGGTTGCCCACATCTTAAATGGATGTTGTTGTTACAAAGGACTGTATGTGTCCAGACACGATCGCCTGGTTGATTTGATTGTAAAGGACTTGAAAACAATACATAAAGACAGTAAGTTTTACCAGCATACTACTGTTGAATTGAACTGGTTTTATGACAACACATCTGACAGTGACTATTTCAAAAACATTCCAAACACTCCAGACATTGTGATTGTAAACAAGGCTCTGAACTCTGTATTTGTCATTGAGGTTGGCTGTTGTTTTGATCTGTATTTTGATACCTGCTATCTTTCCAAACTGCTGAAATATCAGCCATTGGTTGAAGCCATCCATCAACTTGACTATCACTGTAAGTTAATTACCCTAGTATTTGGAAGTTTAGGTCATGTGCACAAGAATATGATTAAAGGTCTGCAGTTGAGTGGATTGCAAAAAAAAAGCAAAAAAACTCAAAAAATTTTGTTCAGTTTCAGCCACTATAGGGAGTATGCAAATATGGAAACGAAGATGTTTTATCTATCCTTGAGTGTTGAATGTTATAAATATAAGGACTTGTGAATGTATGTTAGCCATGTGTACCTGTCATCTTGCAAACTGACTTCCCAAGGTATTTGGATTCCGTTTTTGTTGCTTGTCTTGTGGATCCAAATAAAAGAATAAAATGTGTGTATAGATAGATAGATAGATAGATAAAGATACACACACAAACAGGTTCTCTTTGATTACTGCACATTTGCACATTCACTTACACTTACACTTTTGAACAAGCTGCTGTGTTCTTGGCTAATCAATGCATGATGGATGATATTTGGATGTTTACAGTGGTAATAATGGCCGTGTGCGTGTGTCGTGAGTGATTTATTGAGCCACAGTGGCTTCAGCGAGTTCCCAGAGATCTCCATAAGAAACAGTCATCATGCCACAGTAAATCAAAGCCATCCACAACAGACTAAACAACCAGACTCAGGGAGTTTTATTTTTTACAATTTTCCTTTCGGTTTCGACGTTTTTTTGCTCCCTCTTTACTTCTTGTTCTCGCAGGCAATAACAAAATTGATTTACACATGTACCATAGTTTAACTCTTCCACACAAATTCTTTCCACAAACACGAAAAAACATTCAAATGACGCAGATCACAATCACATGACGTCCAGGACTCCATACGAAGCTCTGTGTTTATGATGCGTTATTAATACGTTACTGAAGCTTGGTGGGAGTCATTTGAGATTCAGTGGTCAGGTTTGAACTCTTTTCAGTGTCAACCTTATAAGCATAAAAAATGGAAATGATTAGCAGCATTCTAAACTGATTCTAATAAACTGAAGAAAAACAAAAATTGGCTTCTGATTAGTCAATACATTATATAAATATTCTATATAAAAACAGCTATGACACAAAACACCTGCTCATCAAATCACTGCATTTCTGCTTATTGTGGTGCATAGCAACGTTCTGTTATATTATGGACAACATCTTCAAGCCAGAAGATGGCATGTGACACTAAAATGTGGTTTTGCATCCTTATTATTTTAACATAACCTCTCGTACCTTGTGGTTTGCTTCAGTAAATAATGCATCATGAACAGGGAGACTGTTTCAGTCTTGCGTTGAAATACACTATTTTTACCCATATACAGAATGATTAAGCATGTCATGTTAAGTAATGGTCTTGAACGCTGTTAAAGATCCGCCACAATCCAAGAAGCCTCACATGGGAACCGTAAAGATCATTCCTGAGCTCTCAGTTGAGCTGTTTTTTTTTTTTGTCCCGATGAATTGTGGGTAGTCTGTAAGAATGGCACTCCAGTGATGTCTGTGGATGGTAATACAGCGAGTAACCACTGTAAGTTTAAAAGCTTCCACTGAGGATCTGACACCGTTTATTAAAGCACCTGGTCACGATACCAACTGAACACCCCACATGAAACATCAAGCTCAGGTGTTTTGACGATGAGCAGGCGACAAGTTTCCTTTTCTGTCCGTGGTTAGTGTTCAGTAAAAATGGAACTGAATTATGGATGCCTCACAGCTTATCTGCCAGTGTGAGATGTTTTGGTGAGCGTTTCTTAAAGGGCAACACAATGAAAGGGGTTTTAACTCCTGAGTGGGTAAATAACCAAGTGCCTTGCCTTTCCTTCACAGCGAGGCATGAAGACATTTTCCAGACCCTTCACCCTCTCTGCTCCTCTCTGCAGGAATGAGCTGCCAACCTCCACTCCAACTGCTGAGACCATCACAACCATCAAGCAGCAGCCGAAGACACACATGTTCTCCTTTCTGCTAATCTAGGTTTCTAATAAGCCTGTTATTAAATACTTTGAATAGTGTTGGCTCTGTAACAAATAGCTTATGCTCCTCTATTGTAAGGTTTAAAAGCATCTTCTAAGTGCATAAAAGTAAATATAATTGGTATTTCCACCACAAATGTGACCCTGGACCACAACACCAGTTTTAAGTCGCTGGGGTATATTTGAATTACTTGTGCAATTAGATACTTTTTTAGGGAGTAACGCAATATTGTAATGCATTACTTTTATAAGTAACTTTACCCAGCACTTTAAATAACTGGATTTCAGCTACAAAATTTTGCCAAGCAGCGGTTAATGCGGTTTATAAAACGGATAGTTCCGGTCCTTGATTCTGATTGGCTGCGCCACGATCAAAGCTGTTGTAAATTACTCTACAAACATACACCTTTGTTTACATTTGTCTGTTGCTTGGCAACCACTTTGTTGGAACCACAACTGATGCTGAGGAACTACATTGTTTGTTGGAAAAATACTGTTTTTATTAATATCATTACACTTTATTTGCTCCGTTTTATTTTGTGAAACCTAACTACGTATATGGAATAACCATTTTATAAAAGCAATAAGCCCCGTGAAGCCGTGGGTTACAGTGAATCTATAACAGCTAACTCCGCTTCGCGTCGTGCCTAACAACGCCCCTTAGCTGTTATAAATTCACTGTAAACCACGGCTTCTTGGGGCTTATTGCTTTATAATACTATTTGGTAATTTACCAACTCAGGAGATAACTGCGGTTTGTTTTTAAAGGTTACTAGAACATGTTTTCACATGATAGAGGCCTGTTTGGTAACATGAAGACCACATCTGGAATGTAATATCATTTCATTGATCCATAAGTGTTAAAAACAGCCATCAGTGTCACGTTCCTCAAACACTGGTTTCTGTCACCGCTGCTGAGCACTCACTGTTGAGGGGACGCTCTTCCAGACAAATGTCTTCTGTCAGAGAGCTGCAGTTACTAGCGCCCTCCTGTGGCTCGGCGGTCAACTGCAGCCTCACGCGTCCCCGGTTCCAGTTCATTCCGTTCTGAAGGCCCGTCACCAGACGCTGGGACTCTGCCGAGGCCGTGGCTGCCAGCTCTGGGGTTTCGGGGCATTCGTGGGTCATCGCCGGGGCCATGCTGCCACTTTTGGCATGGGGCGTCTGGCTGTGGGTGTGACGGTACTCTTCCTCGATGTCCTTGCCTAGTTTCCACCTCTTCCACTTCTTCAGCATCTCGCTCTGGACCTGGAGAGCCGGAGAAACACAGACTATTGAGTCACAGGACTATTCACAGCAAGAGCGATACGACCAAAAATAAATAAATAAAAACCAACTGCGAAAAAAAAAAGTGCATCAAATGCAATAAATGTGAAAAAAGGTCAAATGTTCATGCTCAACATGAAAGGCTCCACAAGGATGCTACTTTTAGATGCTATAGATCATGTGTAGCTGTGATTTTAAGTAATGCTTTTTGAAAAAGAGACATCTCTCACCTCTTTGTTGACGAAGCAGTAAAGGATGGCCACGAGCAGACCCTATGATTACAGACAACAACACACATAAACCTCAACCATCTGCTCTCATCTCACAGCAGATACAATCCATTCAGAGAGCATCTCTTTAAGCGCTCTGACTCATATGATCTGATGATGACGGTGGGTGGGCGGGCGACCTTTGCCCTCTGACCTGGAAGGAGCTGAACAGGAGGTCGTAGAAGAGGCGGATCAGCCTGAGAAGAGACTCCTTCGGCACGGACTCATCGATAACGAAGGTGAAGAGGATGGCGTGAATTCCCAGCAGAGGAATCAGTGTGAGCGTGGACTTGGCCAGCCTGAGGAGAACGAACAAGAGAGAGAGAGAACCACACATTTAATGAGAGCATGAGCTCTTCTTGCATGAAAAATAAAAGACGGCGGTGTTTACCTGAACTTGTAGTCGGTGTATCTCATCTGATGCGCCTTCAGCTTGGACATCAGGATCTTTATTATACGAATGAATATAATGAAATTAATCTATTCCAGAAGGAAAGAAAGAGAGAGAGGTTAAGCCCACTGCTCCGGGTGTGTGTTCACGGTGTGTGTGTTCACTGCTGTGTGTGTGCACTTTGGATGGGATAAATGCAGAGCACTAATTCCGAGTATGGGTCACCATACTTGGCCACATGTCACATCACTTTTCACTTTTTTTTTTAAATCACTGGGACTGATGTGATGTGTGTCATTCAAATGACCACTCTTTCATTACTGTACATGATAACATGTCAAAGCGTAACGCATTATCACAATCCTCACATAGACATTAAAGGGATCTCTCTATTTGGACTTTATAATGCTTCCATTCTGCTTCTGTGAAACTTCTAAAGCCTGACCAGAATTATTGTGACAAACACAAATCAATAAATGAGTAAAACAAACCACTGTTATGAAATCAAACTGACGGATTTATCTTATATTTGATTCTTACTGAGTCTAGATAATTGAATTGATCCACACAAACAACACAAGAGAAATGCAACTGAGATCTGGCAATTTCAGTTTTGAAAAGCTGATGATTTGTTGTATAGATTTTTTGAACATTTTTTCAATGTACACTTAATATATGAAAAACATGAATGCACAGATATATGTGCATGTAAATAATGAGAGCATAAAGTTAAAAAAATACATAACGGTACCCTCTAGTTAAATACTCTAAAACAGCAAAAAATAATGACTGAAGGTGTGTTTAATTCTGCATCATATTAGCAAAGTTATATCAACATTGTTTTCCAAATACTTTTCTAAAAACAGAAATCATAGATTCACATATCGCTCAAAAGCCTGGTGTCTGGAGCAGTTTTGAAATCAGAACATGCAAGTGACTCGTGAAATAAATCATTGTGATTGTCTTTATTACTTTGTAAAGCCCCCCAAGCAGTTTTTTATGCGTTGATGAGTGCGCAGAACAAACGCTCAGTGACGCGCGGAGGTCATAAAGTGTTCCTGAGCCCGAGGCACTCGCTGAACGAACGCGTCTAATGTGAGCCTGCGAATGCAGAATCATATTAGAGACCACTTGAATCTCAATACTCCAGCCCATCCATATGCAACACACACACAGGATCTTCTGCGTAGATGCATGACGGACAGTTTCATTGTCTATCGAGGCTGCGTTTTTTTCCCAACAAACACAGAACGTTCCCCTAACGTTCCCATATGGTTCCCATTTGGTTATTTTTTCGGAACCAAATAAGAACATTCTAGGAACATTCCATGTAGGTTCTTTTTTTTTAATAGCCAAAAGAGAATGTTCCCTGCAGGTTATTTAGTTTAGTTTTTGTTTTTATATAACCTAGAGTGAACGTTCCAGGAATGTTCCCTGCAGGTTATTTTTAAGTTTTATTTTTATAACCTACTGAGAACGTTTCTGGAACGTTCCCCTAACCTCAAGGGAACGTTCTATTTACGTTAAGAAAACCTTCCTGGCTAACCAATAGGGAACATTCTTGGGAACGTTCTGGGAACCAAAACTTGTTAGCTGGGTTCAGTTTCATATGGATTGAATGAGATGAGATGTAATGGTCCGTTCACAGCAAGGACGACATAACGATAAAGATGTAGTTTTAAAAATCGTTCTAACTTTAAAAGAACAGCTAAATCCACACCACAGAGGGATGATATAGTTGGAATCACACTAGCTATGTTTCCATCCAAAGATGTGAATTTAACTTATGCGCAAAACTGGAATATCGCATAAAACATTTGAGAATAAAGCACCGTTTCCATCCAATGAGTCAAAGAAAACAAAATCGTCACTTCCTGATAAACTGGCACTAAATATCTCTAAGAAAACTAGGAGAAGCCACTGAATATAATCATTTTCATATGTAATAAATTACTTGTGCTTCAGAGAGAGCAGACGTAACACAATAAATGCGGTCATTGCTTTTAGAGGTGGATGCCTGTTGTTTGGGAACGCAGCCATGTAAGACAGTAATTTTACAGTAATTTTACAGTAAATACTTTGATGACAGACTTTCCTCAGGCTGTGAAAGAGATCGGTCCGCTGGTTAGTCAAGTTATCCCGTCTCATAGCGCAAAGTCACATGACTTTTTCGATACGCATGGAGGAATTTATTCGGTAAATGTGCTTCCATCGTAGTTTGTGCACATTTTTTCTTATCGGATAAAACGTTTATCCTACTCAGTTGTGCGCATACGTTTTTTATGCGCATTTTTAGAATCTATGCGCATCTTGGCAAGTTTCTTAGTAAGTAGTAAGGTTCCATCCAGCGTTTTTTTATGCGATAATCCAAAATGCGCAGAAACATAGCTACTGACAGCCAGTCACAATAGAATCGGCGCAAACATTTAAAGCAGGAGATGATGTAACTTCATTGCGCACTTCTAAGAGAAGAACGATATCGTGCGGTAGCATGGATGAGAACGGGCCGTAAATCTGTGCGTGAGTCTCTTACCAGATACGCAAACAGAATGGGAGAACGGATGATCCACCAGTAGCCCATGTTGATATTCCTTTCCCAGCATCTGCATATGACAAAATATCACAATCCATCTATTTAAACATGAACAATGTGTCAAACTGTTAAAACCTAATCCATCATTAATTTTTTTCATAACACTGGTGACACAAGGAATTCAATTTTGAGTTCAACCTGGAAAGCTTTTTGCAACCCATTTTTCATACACAGTTACAGTATGTGACATATTTCAGAATAAAATAGCACTTTTAATGAGAAACAAACATAAATCTGAAGCACAGGACTTTATGTTATCCATCAATAATTGATTGTGTGGTGAGAAAGAAAGCGAGTTTTATTGTGTTTTGATGAAAGATTATGGAGAAATAGTTCACAGTGAGTCAAGAAACAAGTAAACAGGGTGAGTTTAGATTTCATATTGACTTCTCTGTTCTTTCCTAAACTGAGCACTGATTAATTGTCTAAGTAAAAAAAAAAGCATGTGTCTTTAATTAAGTGTTACCATGGTGATGCTTTATTGTTATTAGAAGTTTTTTCCTCAGCGGCTTAATAACCAATTCTAATAAATCCCTCTCACACACCTGAAAAAGTCTGTTCAAACTGTGATCTCATTAGTTTTCAGAGTTATTTGTACATGTTGGTCCAATTTAAATGTCTCCTTCACAAATGGTTCTGAATCCTCTGTAGGCGTGCAGGACTGGAAGCGTTAGAGCTCTGTGCCGTTCAATAATCCCTCACCAGGACTCTCATTTATTCAGTTCAAGAAAGACTTTATAAAGTCCATCAAATCTAGACTGGATTTATAATGGAACATGAAGTCATTTTAACGTTTTTGTGTACGGCAGAACTTCATGTCTATTCATTACCAACAGCATTCGTGGGATTATGTTGATAAAATAAAATATGAAATAACATAAAATAAAATAATTTTGACTTATAATAGAAGTTTTATACTGTTTTATTAGTCTGTTATGATCTTAATATTTTTCTGTTCAGTTTTGTATTTTTTTTTTTTTTCTTGATTGTACAACACTTTGGTAAAGTTTTGACTTCCCTTCTTAGTTTTGTTTTATTAGTGTGTTATGTTCTTATTTAACTTTTTTCTGTTCTGCACTTATTGTATTTTTCTTGATTGTACATCACTATAGGTGAAGCATTTGTTTTTAAATGTGCTTTATAAATCAACTTGAATGGGGCCATTTTTTTGTATGACTTAAAAGCATGTAATGTAATTTTATAAAACTTGCGTCCATTTATTAGACGTACTTGTAATTATTAATCTGTTAAAACATATGTGTGAGCTGTAATATAGTTTAAATCTGTTTTATGGTTTATGACATTGCATCGTCATTGCAACAAAGTTGAATTTAAATTTAAACAAAAAATGATCAGACTTAAATCCTGTTAACACATTGTTCATGTCATGTGGCTATACTCTTGTTATTACTGAGTAGGTTGATGGATCTTCCCCATTCACTTCCACTGTACAGTAAGCACTTTACTGTAAACCAGATTTTACAGCGTTTAACTTTCATTAATTGAAACAGCAATTTGCCACAACAATTTTCAACAATTATCCACCAGTAGCCAAGTAATCAACCATTTGCAATTGTAATGGAGCTTAATTTGCACTAAACTTGGAATATTTCTTTAAATCTTGCACTTTTAATGTTATAAATGCATTAATGCGGTCACAGTTCACAACAAAGAAGAAAACCAAAAGATACTAAAACTTATACAAACTTAGCCGTGGGTTATGAAATATGTTGTGCCATGACAACACCCACTGAAGAATCAAATTAAACTCAAACAATAAACACAATAAACAGAAAGGCAAATAAAAGAAAGGGAATGATATTCGATTACCGCAGGGAGGAAAGAAGAAAGACCAAATACAGGCGAGATGAGAGAGAAACAGCAGCGCCTTCATCAACACTTTATACTCGAACGCCAACTCATCATCATCACGAGAGCACCTGATTGGTGCAGAGGGAGAGGGGGCGTGTCGAAAGTCACCTGAGGCTCGTCAGGTCTACATCAGGCCAGAACACTTTAAACACAAATACCCATGAATACTAAAGAGATCACACCGGTTCACACGTGTAAGTTTCTCATTATCAGTGTGTATTATTTAAGAGCAATGGGCCGCTTTATGACTCTTTTCTCCTGCTTTCAGTCAGAACATGACCGTTTGGGGAGATCAGCGATGTGAACGGCTCATAAAGAGCTACTAGTCTCACTGTCCAACACTTTTATCCTCCTATATCTGTGCCGATCCCACACAAACTCATTCCATATCCGTCAGCACAACAGGATTTACTGTATAGCTGCTGCAGGGTTTCATGTATCAGATGCCTTTTAGGGTTAAATTCACTATATTTGCTTTGATAGGCCTCAAATCATACAGTGTTTGGAGGACAACACTGGGCAGGACGTGGAATATTTGAGATATATATATATATATATATATATATATATACACAGTGGTGTGAAAAAGTGTTGGCCCCCTTCCTGATTTCTTATTTATTTACTATACATAATATATTCAGATAATCTTTAATATTTTATTTTATTTTTATTTCAAGCAACAAATGTTTTTTTTTATGGTTTTAGTTTGAGTTAAAAATAATAATCCTGCTGCCATGCACACTAAAACGTAATATAATATAAAGTTATCTACTAAAAACCATTTTATAAATCAGGACAATATTAATGCTTACATACAGTAACCCAAAAATGTATTTGGACATTTCAGTCACAAAATAAAACCTGAATGTCACTGCATTGTATACTAAATATGAACCTAAGTGGCATTTATTTTCAAGAAACCCAACAAAGCAAATCAACTCTTGACAAAAAGACATCAGTTCAGTTTGAATTCCATTAAAAACACTAAAATCAACAGAACGCCAGCTGAATCAAAGACACCCAGCAAAAAATGTTTGACATCTAACCCAAATGGAAGTTTTAGGTGTTATGCAGGTGTTCAAACCCTTTTTGGAGCCATTGTTAGTCGAAGTTAAAGTAAAGGAAACATACTCTTCATTTTCATACAGGTACTTGACTGTCATCCACGGCAGCACAAATATGAGCGGCGCACCTGCAACACAAGAGAGAGAGTCAGCGGAGTGTCAGCCAATCAAACGCTTCCTCAGCTCATTAGTGATTTTGAGCTGACTTCTTAAACGTCTTAAAACTTCTTTAAAGTCAGCCGCGTCAGAAACGCTTCAAACAGCTCAGGGTGGGCCGAACGTTTCCTCAAACGCCTCGCGGTGAATGTGAAAATGCGTGTTGTTTATTGGTCTTTCTTTGTGCTAATTCTGAGCAGATCAGACTTCAGTTATTAGAAAAACACTCCCAGACAAAGGAGCTTCTGAAAGGATGTGATTATGCATGATTGCGTGCTGAAGGCTCACACACCCCAGCCGATGCAGAGGTAAATGTAGAAGTAGTTCCTCTCGGAGAAGACGGTGATGACCAGCAGGCTGTGCAGATACAGACCCTCCACCAGCAGCCAGTAGTTGTTGGCCATGACGCTGTACTGCATCATCACCATCGCAGCACGGCAGCCGCTCACCGTCTGAGGAACACATGCACCGATATGCAAATTCAGCCTCTGATGACACGCCCACCAACCAATCACAGACCGTCTAATGTGATATAGGCCAAGAAGTGCATCGTAATATTGCATCATATTTATTATCAAAACAGATGGAAAATTAATGGATATGGATATTACTAAGTTGAATCACTCTTATGGAATTACGTTTATGGGCTGCAATAACTAATCAAAAAAATCAATAATAATCAAAAGGATCGACAGTGAATTTGATTACCCATAGCATAGCCTAAATACATAAATTCACTATATTTCTTTTCACAGTCCTCAAATTGCATATTGTTTGGAGCACAATGTTGAGCAGGATGTGGAATAACTTTTTTTTTAATAATAGATACTTGTTTTGTAATTCATAAAATATAAAAATTATTTACAAAACTCATGATGTTTAGGTTTTCATCTGATTACTCGAAGAACTAATTGCCAATCATTAGCTGCAGACTTAGAATATTATATTATATTATATTATTAAAACTACATATAACAGATAGCAATAATTTTATATCAGACTAACTCATTTTCCACAATAGTGATTAGAAAGCAACTGGAAGAAATAAAATAACAACCTTCAAAAATATGTAAATTCTTCAAATGTCAGCCTGAAACACAAAAACAACTTATTTTATTTTATTTTCCAGCTGCCTTCTAATCACTGTTATGGAAAATTGGTGATATCTGGTATGTATGTATGTATGCATGTAGGTATGTATGTATTATCTTTATTATTATTATTATTATTATTATTATTATCTGGTATATAAAGTTAGTATTTTAACAGATCACATACATCGCAATAAAACTATTCTTTTTTTTTTTTTTTTACTAAATTTACCAAATTTATCTTACTATTTATCTTACTATAAATACGACTTATCTGCTTAGCATTGTTTTTTAATCAATCAATCAATCCATCAATCATCTTTTCTTGTTTAATTGAGTATGATAAGCATTCGCTTTGACTCACATCTATCATATTTCTGTGCTCAGTTTCACATTTGGATTCAGTCTTCCACTTTTTCATCAGCTTCCAACTTGTTATCAGTTACACATAGTGCAGTTTCTCAACATAAATGCATTTAGGAGTGGCTAACTGGCAGTATTTGGCTGATTCATATCGCCTGCCCCCAATCTGATGCATATTGCAAACCAGCAAGATCAGATCTGATTGGCCGTCTTTACACAATGCAAGTCAACATTTGCCAGGAAACAATGTCGTTTATAGAACGACTCTGATCGGAAGACCTTTATCTGAGATGCTTACAGTAAGTAAACAAGACGTCCTTGAGCACACCTGTACTTTCCTCTGGATCCAGCTCCACCTGCCTGCAAACACACTGTAAAGGGTGACGTGTACCTGAGCGCTGACCCAGCGCTGCCCCTGGAAGTGATGCGGGCCGCTCTGAGCGCTGTTCATCTGATCCAGCAGCGCGTCTTTGGCGAGGATGGAGACGGCGCGCAGGATGAAGGAGCCGAACAGATTCATGTGGATGTTGTTCCTCATGCAGTGCAGCTTCCTGTGGGAAACCAGACGATTACTGTGTGATCAGCACATGTAATGGGGATCATGTAATCAGATTGCACAAATCAAACACTCGCTATCATCTAATATCACTTAGATGATATTACATTTTAGAATAGCTGTAGTCAGATTACAGTTACTTTTTATTGACTACATGATTACTTAATAGGCTTTTGATTGATTACATTTACTTTTATTCATTTAGCAGAAGCTTTTATCCAAAGTCCAAAGAAATGAGGAATACAACAAGCGATTCATCATTAGGCAATAACACGATGAGTGTCATCAGCATAGCAGTGATATGAAAAGCCATGTTTCGGAATGACAGAACCTAGTGATGCCATGTAGACAGAGAAGAGAAGTGGTCCAAGAACTGAGCCCTGAGGCACCCAGTTAGATGTTGCGACTTGGACAACTCTCCAAGATACCTTTTTTTTATTTTTAAAATTATCTTTCCATCAACTCACAAACCACCAGCAGTTCCTTTGCAAAGCTCCGGTCCAGGAAACCCTGGCATAATGTCATGTTTAATTCACTTCATGTTACTGAATGGAATATTATTTTTTTCTCCTTGTATTTTTATATCAATATGATATGAGATTATTATTCAAATCAATGTGACAGGTGAAAGTAATCAAAAAGTAATTAAAATGTAATCCAATATTACATTTTATTGCATTTTATATTGCCTAAAATGTGTGATGTAATAGATTATGTTACTAGGTACAATTTTCGTCATGTAATTTGCATTGAGTGCTGAACTACAGTTTGTGTTTGGTAGATGCTGTATTTACCTGAAGCTGATCAGGATGGCCAGCGCGAGAGTCAGTGCTGCCAGAGACAGTGAGTATCCGACGGTGTACATGGCTCTGAACTTGCTGAGGATCTGACCGTACTGCTTCTTCACACACACACACAGAGAGAGAAGGGTCAGCCGGCATTAGTATCATTGCTCAGAAACATCAAGTTATTAAACACGCATCTCACCTGTCCAGGGTCATCCTGCTCACACTCGCTGGTGTTTTTCCCATGAGCCCATCTGCCGTCAGCACTGCACACGCGGTAAACCAACCCCCGATGAACTGCTCAAACACACAAACACAGCGGGAAAACTCATTAGCATTACATTGATTTTTATTTAACGACAATATTTGCATACAAAGTGTGCATGTACACACTACATTAAATATTAAAGAGATCATTGTTGTTATTGTCAAACTAAAATTAAACTATTAAAAAGTTTCTGTTTTGGGAACTGAAATAAAGCTGAACTAAAATTAAATATAGCTGATGAAAAACTTAATTAGAAATGTTGCTTTGGCAACTAGCTTAAATAAAATAATCTGACAGTAAAAAATATATATATATTTTTTTATATTTTATAAATATACTGTATATATAAAACCACATAAAATCACTAAATCTAAAAGTGAAATTAAAATGAAAACTCATAACAGTAAAAGCTCATTAAAAAAATCATAATTCAAAACAGTAAGTACTAAAATACTATATAAATAATACTACTATAACAATGGAGATCATGTCCATATTCATAAAAAAGATGAACATTTGCAGGTAAATATATGTTTTATTCACATCTTGTCTTGAAAGCAGTGCTATTTTAGCAGAGTTAATACACTTAATTTTTAAAAATATTTTAAATTTGTTTTTATTCTTGTATTTTCCATTTTCGTTTAAATTTACTTTAGGTTTTAGTAATTTTATGTGTTTTTGTAATTTGTATGAGTTATTGTAATTTAAAAAAAAATATGTCTGTAAAGTATGTATGTAAGCATGTATGTATTTATTCTAAGTTGTTTTACAATATCAAGTTAAACTAAATGAAAATAAGATATGTTACTTTGACAGCTAGCTGAAATAAAATCATTTGAACTTTATTTTCTTTTTCAGGTAGTGTTTATTTTATTTCAGCGAGAGTTTATTTCAAGTAACTTTTTTTAATCAACTGTAATAACCATGTAATAACATCTGTCCTTTTCTAACATGGCAGCAGTCTTACTATGTTCTTCCGTGTTAAACATTCATGCTGTAGGTTGTTAGGTGACAGATTGCTGCCTGACAGCTGGTAATAAGCTGGTATTACCTGCTAAGAGTTGAGATTTCATTCCTCTTTCTAATCGAGACAAAGGACATTTCTCTAGGTGTAAGTCAGAGATGAGTGTGAGGAGGACAGTGTTCCTGTCGTGTTAGGAATCTGAAGTGAGAACTGCAGACTCCTGTAAACTGCTTTTACAAGAGCGTCTGAGAGCATGAAGCAGTAGTTTGGTGGAATCTGTCATTAAAAAGTCTTCATGTCATAAATTACTCCGGTATGGCATGTATAATGTCTGAATGCAGCGTTTGCAGGTCAGAGAGCAGCAGTCGGCTGAAAGCAGTCGTTTATTTCAGCAGTCTGACAGGTAAATGCTCACAGCGAGTGTTATGTATATTTCTCTGTCTGATGCAGCTGTGTCCTGAAGCGCTGCATTTTATCGTCCTGTCACAGTAAGTTCGCCATTAACATGCATTTCATTTGGACAGATAACAGAACCAATTTCACTTCGTTTGGATTATAATTTTTTTAAGCGCTTTACCTTTCCGGTACCAGGGCAGGTACCACGGGCAGGACACGTTAACCGTGGTGCCCGGCGATCCATCGGGCCAACACACGTACTGATCAAACGTCCTGTTACACACCAGTCCTGAAACACACAGAGACACGTCAGCTGCTGAAGTACCACACACTGCACACATTACCCCGCAGTCACGAGCCTGACCTGCGGCCGGCGGTGTGCTGATGAAGCTCTGGATGCACTCATTTGTGTAGATCCTCCATTGCTCCTGCAGCAGCTTCAGAGATTTTCCAGAAGACACCTACAAACACCACATCACTTCAAACATGGGCTTAAACACACTGAACATTTACAGGATCAGAGCCACTTCTACAATACTACTAATGAACACATCATTAAATTCTAATAATATAATATAATATAATATAAAATATGATATGATACGATATGATGTGATATGATACGATGTGATACGATACGATACCATACAATACAATACAATATAATATAATATACGATGCGATATAATATAATACAACCAATATAAAATTAAATTAAATTAAATTAAATAAATATTCATATTTTGAATGGGCTTTTATTGTTATTTTTCAGTTTTTTTCAGTTATTTTAGTTTAAGTCTTGGTAATTTTGTTGTGCTTTTGTCTTCTTTATTACTTGTTATTAGTTCTTAGTTGTTCTTTAAAACAACAACAACAACAATAATAATAAAAATAATAATACTATTAATAATAATAATAATAATAATAATACTAATTGTAAGCTTTATTTTATTTTTTATTTCATTTTTTAGTTTTGATCATTTTAGTACTTCAGCTTAAACAGATTTATTTCACTTAGTTCCCAGTTTTTATTTGTATATTTTCTGTTTTCATTTTAGTTGCAGTTTTAGTCATTTTGTTGTGGTTTCTTGTCATTTTTGTTCTTTTTTTTTTTTTTAAATAAATATGTCTATATAGTTCGTTATAATAACCCTGTTTGCAAAGCAGCATTTATCACTTCAGTAAAAAAGTTATTTAATTGATTATTCCTTAACAACATGGACGCTGAATCATCATCAAACATTTTTCTCACCATAAAATGGCTTTAAAAAACTCCCCAAAAAATCACAGAGATGTTAATACGAGACTTCAGAAAAAGAATCTCCAAGATTTTAATTGCCGTTCATATGTTGAACACTCTGCATTTATCGGATCCTTCCTCAAACGCGGGTCGCGCACCTCATAAACGGCTCAAAAGTACCTGAGCAGCGTTTTGAGATGAATGTCCTCTTTCTTCTGATCTGACTCGCGCTAATTGTGTCGTTTTAATTGCGCAGAAACGTAAGATGTACAACCTCTTTGATGTTAAAGTAGATTAGATCCTTTTAAGATTGTGAAATTCATTTTATGATGCTTTCTTAAATGAAAATCTGTTCCTTCAACGGACAAATTACGTCCCTAGAAGGAACCTGATCACATCTCATGTAATGATGTCCACAAAAGGAGAACAGTTCACATGAGACGAGAGGTCACGGCAAACAAACACAGGGAATAAATCTGAAGGCGCTGAGGCTTTAGTGTGGGTCAGATGAAGAAACGTGAAGTGACTCTCCACACAGATGTGATTTAATGACCTAAAGCTGACCTGAGGCTTTTGTTCAGTTTTACCTCAGAAGAAATGAAAGGTACATTTATTAGATCTGTGTATGCTGATGAACACTCGCATGAGATAAAGACAGTTACATGTTACATGTATGTGTATGTTGCAAAAGATTTCTATTTCAAGTAAATGCTGTCCTTTTGAACTTTCTATTCATCTGTAAATTCTGAAAAATAAAATGTATCACAGTTTCCACAGAAATCTGAAGCAGCACAACTGTTTTCAACATGGATAATAATCAGAAATGTTTCTTGAGCAGCAACTCAGCATATTAGAAGGATTTCTGAAGATCATGTGACACTGAAGACTGGAGTAATGGTGCTGAAATTTCAGATTTGATCACAGAAATAAATTACATTTTACAATAGAATTCACACAGAAAACAGCTATTTTAAATCATAATAATATTTCAGATTTTTAACGCACTTTTGATCAAATAAATGCAGCCTTGCTGAGCAGAAGAGACTCAAAACATTAAAAAAAAATCAAAGGTTTAAACGCTAGCGTGTCTAGTCAAAGCTAATGTTGTTGTTTTGACCTGAGTGTTTGCGGTCAGAGTGAAGAGGACCAGCAGCAGAAGACAGACGGACATTCCTCACACCGGCTCATCACTCGCTCGTCATCACACCACCTACAGAAAACACACACAGCACACGTTTCTGAAGAGCAATTAATCAGGCTGAATTCACCACCACGATGATGATGCAGCGGGGTTTCCAGCTAGTTTCAGGGATCTTCAGCTCTTTTTTTTTCACCCGAGGTGTCATTATCCATCATGGATGTGAATGTTTTTCAGACTGCGAGTTATGAATTAGACATCTGAATTTAACTGGCTCCATCATTGTTTTCTCCTCACAGAAACGGCCGTGATCATTATCATCAGGAACAGACTCCTACAGCGAGTGCGTGTTATGAGTAACTCCTATTTTGGCTGAATCCCTGCGGAACGTTCGGAGCGGAAGAGATTTACTCCTCAGATTTCCCACACAGACATTCCTCTGTTAACATGCCATGGCATTACACACACACACACACACACACACACACACACACACACATAATGTGTTTTGGTGGAAAAGACTCTCTTTCCACGTGACAATAGACCGTTTTTTTTTCCCGAAGCCGGAGAACGGAACGAAATCTGAAACGTTTCTGCAAAAAACACCTTTACAATGGAAACATTTTTGGCTAAAACGTTTCAAATTCCATTCTGTTCCAATCTCTCTGCTGGACGTGACGCTCCCAGTTCAGTCTGTGCGTGTTTACTTCAGTCCTACAATGAAGAACGTTAGAAACATTTGCACACAGACAACTAGAAAAGCAATTAAGACTTCCAGTACTTTTCCTGCTGGGTAGTAACTGATTAAATGTAATCTGGATTATGTAATCAGATTCCAAAAATGGAGTACTTGTAACTGGAAACACTGAAATCGAGTGAATGTTTTCTGTACAAGAAACACACCTGAGAACTGCATGAAGTCTCGTGAGCCATAAAAGAGAAACCTCGGAGCAATAAACATGTCCCACACATTCCTCCTTTAATTTCTCACCCATGTTCTTTCTCTTTTTCTCTCTGCAGTAAACCTGTAAAACAATTTCACCTCCTTTGTCTGATTGGACCCTTCACAGCTGAAGAAAAAAGATAAATGGAGGGAGGAGAGACAAGTTGTTGAGGGGCTGAAAAGGTAAACATTTCTAGACCTTGAGGATGAACACACATCTTGCAGTCGTGCATTAATTCAGACAGAGATACAGGGAGCAACCCTGTGCGCATGGCATTATGGGAAATAACTACTTCAGCTCAGATTGCATTTACTCACTGTTGGTGTTTACCGGTTAATGGTGATTTAATTAGTTACTAAATTTAGCTACTAAAACCTCTAGCTTTCTTAAAGAGTCTTAAAGTTAATTGTGTGTTTGTGATTCAGACATGGTTCCTCAAATCATGTGTTGTTGAAGAGATTGCTGTGCTGTGACGCACATTTTCACCTGTTGGACCAGAAAAACGCCCACAGACATGAGCCACATCTAGAGAGCAGAAGATCACAGAGACGTGAGGATGCAAAACCCAGAACACTGTAGAAACCTTCATTAAGAAGATATATTGGTGAATGTGTGTAGTGAAAAACAGCTACTGGTCCCCACTGACATCCATAGTATAGAAGAAAAAAAATACTATGGAAGTGGATGGGGACCAACATTCTTCAAAATATCTTCTATGTTCAGCAGAAGAAAGAAAGTCATACAGGTTTGGAACTTTAGGGTCAGTAAATGATGACAGGGTTTTCTTCTTTTGTCTGGACTGACCCTTTAACTACAGGAAATCCTTCATTTCACAATAATCTCTCTGAATCACTAGACAGAGACGGAGAGAGAGAATTGTCATCAGCGGTAATAAAATACAGCTTGACCAAAAAGCAAGTGCTGACTGGAAATACCATTTATTGTTAGTGTGTGTGTGTGTAATGGTTTTAGTAATAAGCTGAATTAAGGCTGGATCTGAAGTGGACTGTGTGCTGAGCCTCTTTAGTTCATTGCTTTTTAAATACTCTCATTATGTGTAATAGATAAATGAATCATCTGGAAGTAAACGCTTATTGATTTGGAGGAACTCAAGTACCGTTTTCAAAAGCGATTAGGACCATTGACACAGAATATAAACGGTGCGTAAATCAGCTGCGCTGTGAACCGTTAGACGTGTGCGGTGGTTTAATGTGGATATCTTCACTTCTGCTCCATCATAATGTGTTTAATGCAGCATGTTTATAAAACAGAATATTTAATATTATATATAATATTATTATAATAGTTATTTTATTATATTTCAATAGTATTATTTACATTTTAATATTATTATTATTATTATTTATTTATTTATTATAATTTATATATTTATATTTTTGTATATTTATAACCAGGGTTTGAAATTAACTTTTTCACTCACCAGCCAATTTGGCTACTAAATTTTTAAGTGACTGGCCATTCATAATTTCTACTAGCCAAAAAAATTAAACAAATAAATAATGAAAAAAAGGCCAGAGGTAAGCCAACTAAATAAGTGTATGTGTGTGTATACACACACACACATACACTCATAAAATACTAAGTATAATATTACATATAAACATATGTAATAAAACTGTATTATAATTATAATATAGCACAAAGCAGAGGATGAAAACAAGAATATTTCCAAGTCAATGACTATACCTTGGAGTAATTAAATCCATTATTGCCATTTTATCCTCAAGAACCAAGTGACATTGAGAAGACGGTGATCATCGTCTCTGACAGAGCTGCAGACTTCACTAGCTGTGATTGTACAACAACAACTGACGCCTAGAGCTTCACACAGCGTGAAAACAACGACAGAGCGAAGGCCTGTGTTAAATGTCACATGACATCTGAGCTCCAGTTTGCCAGGAGGCATCTGAGAGCCTCTGCATTCAGCTGGGACAAGCTTCTGCGCTCGGATCACACCAAAGTTGAGCTTTCTGGCCATTAGATGAAACGGCATGTTTGGCGAAAACAAAATACTGCACATCATCAGAATCACAGCGTCCAACCGTGAAGCATGATGATGGTGGCGGCGCGCTGCGGGACGTTTGCAGGTGTATGAGGGAAGATGAATGCAGGAAAATGCAAGGAAGACTTGATGGAGTCTCCAAGACACCTGGAACCTAGAGAAGAATTGCTTTCCAGCTGGATGCTGAAACATCAAGCCAAATCTATGCAGGAACGGCTTGAAAACAGCGACGTTTGAGTGTCCAACTCAGAGTTCAGACATGGGTCTAGTTCATCTTTATTAGTGGACTGAACTTGTTCTTCTGAGATGTTCTGCAAAGGAGAATCAGGAAACATCAGTGACCAGATATTCAACGTTTAACGCCAAGGATGCATACACTGGCACGAGTGTACACACACAGAGAATACTTATGCAGTTGATTGTTTTAGGTCTAATAACTTCACTTTAAATAATATTTTCCTGTTGATCAGAATGAAAAACACCAAATTCATTCTCTGTGCTTCAGTCGATTTAAACCAACAAAACATCCTGTGTGAAATACGAATGAAGCTGCGCTCGATAGCGAAGGGGCCTCTGGGAACACGTTTGGGCCAAATGTACTCCGTTGTTTAATAAACACACTTTGGTGTGTAGAATGTCAGCACAAAACCACTCGCCTTGTCATTCGTCTCAGCTCAAACACTCCTACATTGACATTCAGGAATTAATACGTTCATTCAGCAAGGACGCATTAAAGTGACAGTACAGACATTTATAATGTTACAAAATATTTCTATTTCAAATAAATGCTCTTCTTTTGAACTTGTTCACCAAAGAATCCTGAAAATAAAAACGTATCAATATTTAGCAGCACAACTGTTTTCAACATGGATAATAATCAGAAATGTTTCTTGAGCAGCAAATCAGCATATTAGCATGATTTCTGAAGGATCATGTGACACTGAAGACTGGAGTAATGATGCTTGAAAATTCAGCTTTGTTCACATGAATCAATTACATCTGAACAGATAATCACATAGAAAACAGTTATTTTAAATTGTAAACATGCACTGTTTTGACTGTATTTTTGATCAAATAAATGCATATTGGTGAGCAGAAGAGACCCAAAAACATAAATAAATAAAAAATAATAATAATTACCAACACCAAACTGAGTGCTGCTCGCATGTGTCTTCAATGTAGACTAGTGTATAACGTATGTAAAACATCACATGTCTGTATTTCTGTTTCAGTCTATTCACGGCACTTGTAGAGAATCTGGTGGCTCTGCTAATGTAAATGTCCTCTGTGATGATTTCTCATCAAAAAATTCAACATTTGATCACGCAGTTATTCTTTAATGGATTTTCTCTATTCATTGAATGTGAGATCACTGATATTGAGTCGCTGCAAAGCCATTCTGGCATATTAAACACTGTATGCTTCCTGTCTGGAAAGGAAGTCCTGCGACATCACTGTCTGATTTACCGACAACTCGAGAGTGAGAGCTTAAAATTAAATATTAGATCTTCGACTAAGTTTAATGAATCATCTATAACTCTGCAAAAGTTAATTCCCATTTGAAGAACAGTTTCTGACACCCATTAACAAACAAAAGAAAAAAAAAGGTTTTCTTTTTTGTCACAGAGGTTAAGGTTACACAGGTCAATGAAATATCTGGCAACATAAGCTGCACTTAATGGACGTCACGAGTGACACCGTAAAAATGTCTGGCTACGTCACCGTTTGGATCTTTGCTCTTCAAGCGTCCTCAAGTGGCCTTATTATCACATGACGGGCAACATGAATCAAAGCAAAGTTATTACTGAGAAGATGAAGGTTAAAATTATTATTTAAAAGCAGCTCTAAAGTGGCCAAAATGAATAGTGAGTGCTTCGAAATGAAAGAGAGGTCATTTTATTTAATGGGATTTAAAAACGGTCGAGTAAAAAAGGGTTTGGCTTTTCTCCATTATGATTTTTAAAAAGACCACATCTACATGCACTCATTTGACACTCATTTGATACATTACATACTACTTATGTAACACAGGTTTTGTGGTCCAGGGTCAGATATATCGCTTATAGTGACTTCACAAAAGAGAGTAAAAATGTGATAATACACTG